AATCTACTTCTGTAGTGACACCACCTTGGAAACCCTGGACGGGTCACTATGAGTTGGATCTGACTCGACGGTGGTGAGTTTGTTTATCTTTTTGTTTTTGAGATCAACCAGCTTATTGACATGTTTATTTCATCAAGCCTTGGCACCCTGGAAGGAAAAATTTGTCCTTACTGGGATAGATATGTATTCCAGGTATGGTCTTTCCTTGGCTAGCACCACTCTGCAAGGGTTCAGTGTCTGATTTATTGGCAATGGCACCCTACATGTGCCCCAGTACCAAGGGGCCCACTTCCCAGAGAGAAAACTGTGGGCACATGACAAGATCCACTACTCTTACCCTACTGTATCACATAGAGGAGCTGGCCTGAAAGAGTGTTAGATGGCTTCTTATTGGTGCAGTTAAGGTACCAGCCACCATCCTTCAGAGGTGAGGTGCTGTCTTTCAGATGTGGTATATATTCTGAATTAATGCCATAACATAATGTTGTGTCCCCTGGTCTGGGAACTAAAGGACAGAAGTAAGATTGGTCCTTTTCACCATCATTTCCAATGATCCACTTGCAAAAATTATTTCTTATCCGTGTAACTTTAGGCTCTGTAACACTAGAGTCTTAGTTTCTGGGGACATGGGGAATGTTACCAGGATTCCACTATACCTAAAGCTAAAGCTGTTACCTAGTCATTTTTGGCTTCTCAGGTGAGTAGACTAGGAGGCAAAGAAAGGAGTTGATACACAAGCAGAGGTTACTGATCCTGGCAACAAGGGACCCATTTCCTACTGCTATATAATGGGGAACAGGAGTAGTAAGAGTGGAATTCAGGGTATTTAGTGGTAGGCCTTTGAGTGCTTCCTCTCTCTAAGATAAGGACCAGGCAACTGTAGCAAACATGACCAACAAAGGTATGGTAAGCAGAGGCTCAGATCCAGAGACACAGCCTAGACCAGTAGAAGCACTGGCTGAGAGTAAGGAGGAAATGAGTATTAATTATGGCCTTGGGTCAGCTACAGAACAACTGAGGTTTGTCTCACTGTGGTGTAGTAAATTACATAGTGTGGCTTTTCTAGCCCTAAGTCTTTGTAAACTCCATGCTGGAATTTCCTGTGAGCAACAGAGTAGCTCTGTTAAAGTTATTCACCTGGGTATTTCTGTTGGGTGCAGCACAGAGTAATTTTCTGGGAAGTTCTCTCCCTGTCAGGTGTGTAGAACTCTGAAGTTGGGATTGGTTGGTTTGGGCCACTGTCAGACTCAAAAGGAACCTTCCTAGAGGCAGGAGTCTCTCTGACTGCTGTCTGAGAAAGATGTGCTGCTGAGAGAAACCTCCTGAGACACAGACTTGCTGAGAGAGATGTGAGAGACATGTGCTGCTGAGAGACTGCTGGCTGCTAAGTGAGACAGCTGGCTGTGAGAGACTGAGTGCATTTCTGAACTTGAATTGTAGCCTGTTGCTTCCCTATAAACACCATAACCTGTGAATTCCATGTAGGCACTGCAGTGAATTATCGAACCCAGCAGAGATGTGGTGGGTGCTGCAGAAGGAACGGTTGGTGCCAGGGTTGGTGAAAGGGCTGGAGGGAGGCAACATGTCTGGCCTCGCAGGAATAGGCCTTGGGCTACTGATGGTGATTCTGTCTTCCTCTTGTGGGGTTAGAGGTCAGAAGATGCGGCCTCCCTGCCCCTTTGGCACTCACTCTCCCTCTTGCCCCCATCCCCTTGTTTTAAGTGATTAGCTATTACTTTGAATAATTAGTGACAGGGCCATGACCTTAATGTTGGGCACAAGTGGATCTGAATGTTGGAAGAGATCCAGTTATCACAGAGTTGACTGACTCATGGTGACTCCATGTATGTCAGAGTAGAACTGTGCTCCATAGGGTTTTCAATGGCTGATTTTTCAGCAGATCATCAAGCCTTTCCTTGTGAGGCACCTCTGGATGGACTTGAACAGCCAACCTTCTGGTTAGCAGCTGAGTGCACGAACCATTTGCACCACCCAGGGACTACACTGAAAGGGACAGGACATAGCAAATGTTAGTGCCCTATCCACTTCCCCTCAGCAATCACCGTTCCTTCGCACACAAGCAACTTCTTTCTGCAACAACTTGGGAATTTGCAGAGAGCTTCTCTAGCTGCTGGAGTGACACAGCTCTGGGCAGGGCAGGGAATTGCCAACCCTGGCAATAGCTCCCAATCAATGATGAGCGGGGATAAATATTCTTTCTTCCCCCTCATGTCACAGATGCTGCAACATGACTAAGATTGTTATCCAATGGGAATCTGCTCATTGACCTTGAACTGGCTTCCTCACTTTCCAGTTTCACTTTTCCACACCCTAATCGGTGATTTGTGGTGGTGTTAATTGCTGTCAGGTCTATTCTGACTCAACAACTTGTACTCAAATTGTAGTCTGGGTTCTGCTTTGCTAGGAACCCAATCTAAGAAAGTATACATTCATTTTCTAGTTACTGGATTTCCAGGTTGTTTTGTTTTGCACTATTACAAATAAACTGCAACAATCTTTTACAAATCTCCCAGTACACGTTGTTTTTCTCTTGGTATTTACCAAGGAGTGGAAAAGCTAGATTGAAAAGTATGTGCATCTTTAATCTTATTAATTATCACCAACATTTTAAAGGCCTGATAATGTCAAATGCTGGTGAGAAGGAGACACGTGATGAGTGTAATATGGTACATCACTGGCACTTAAGGTTGTATGTCAACTTGGCTGGGTTGGTTTGAGTGGCTGAGCAGCTCGTGGTAGTTATTCCCCATGATGAGACTGACAATCACCTCCATGGTGGGATCTGCCATGAGCAGATGAGTAGCGGCTTTAGGGAAGTTGTCTGTTTCTCGTATGTAAGAAGCAGATTTGGGAGTGGTCTGCAGCTTTTTGGCACACTTGGACCCTGCATGGAGCTGAGTCATTGTTCAGCAGCCTGCCATGTTGCCCTGCCAATCTTGGGACTTTTTCTGGACTTGAATCAATGACCTGATGTGTGGTAGTATCGGGACTGTGCCTTTTTACTTGTCGACCTTGAGTTTGTCAGCCTCATGAGCCAGCAGCTGCCTGAATGAAGCAAAGCCTTTAGCTTCAGTGGGCTGGGAGCAGGAGGCAGAGCTGGACCCCAAGGTTGAGTGGCTTTCACCTAGCCCTTAGAGGCTGGCACTTTGAACTTGGACTTTTAGCCTCCCAAACTTTAAGAATATAAACTCTTATTGGTTAAAAGCATCCCATTTGTGGTATATTCCTGTCAGAGTGGCACTAGGTAACCAAAATAATCACTGTGGTTTTAATTTACATACTTCTAACTGCTAGCAGAAACAATACACCTTTTCATTTATTTATTGGTCAGTTGAGTGTTGAATTCTGTAAGTTTTAGATAGTAATATTTCTGGCTATATATTCTCTGCTTATATTTATGGTAGATAGCACCACTGTCTTCTTGCGGTTTGTAAGTCCTATGTAACATCGATTCCTATTTCCTTTGTGTGAACTATTTATTTATTTATTTTACCTCTGTTGTTGTTGTTGTTATGTGCCGTCGAGTCGGCCCTGGCTCATAGAGACCCCTCCTTGGGTTTCCGAGGCCGTATCACTACGGAAGTAGGATTGTTCAACCTTCCTTCCGAGGAGTGGCTGGTGGGTTTGAACCGCCAGCCTTCTGGTTAGCAGTCAAGTGCTTTAGCCACTATGTTACCAGAGCTCCTAAGTTTTTACCTCTATGGAAGATTTTAGGAAAATACTCTTCATTCTTGATGTTCTGTAACTTAATTTTATTGCTGAACATAGGGCCCAATTTATTATCATAAATAATTTTTTTTTCATGAAAATACATAGTTTCCCAAATGCCAATCACAAGAAAAATACCCAGTGAGAAAATAACATCTCCAACAGTGATATTGTCAACTAATACTCCACATTTTTCTATACGTGTTTATCCTTATTAAAAATTTTCAGTATTGCACACAATTTGCTTCTTTTACTTAGCAATCTTTGGTATATTTCTGTCAGTACCTCTTTTTTACTGCTACAGAAAATTAAATTTTATAGGTATACTGGTTGATAATTTGTTTTCCTGATGAACATTAGGGCTGTTCCTAAGTTTTAAAAAAAGCATTGTAGTAAATAATCTTGAGCCCATCTCTGTTCAGAATGAATTTCTAGAAGTGGAATTTCTGGGTTCAAAACTAGAACATTTTGAATTTTAATTGATATTGTTAATTTATTTTTTAAAATGGTTTTAATATACAATAAAGAAAATGTTATTTCTTTAGACAGCATAATAATCTTTGCCAACAAAATGGGTAAAAAAAAAAAAAAGAAATATTTTCTAACTTACTGATTTTGGGTTTCTAGAATATCTATTAAATCATTACTTCCTTGAATTTTTAATCTTAGAAGATCCAAAACAGAATTTTTAAAGGTCTCAGACCTTTTCTACTCTTTTAACCATCAAAAAGTTAGTCTCCAACCTGCCTCTTTACTATCCCTACTGAATATACTGGAGTTCTCAACTCACTGATAACTATGAGTGAACAGAACTTTTATCAGGAATATGATATCCCCAGAATAATTCACAGTTCCTATTTTGATATAATTTTCTCTTAAAATCTCAGTTGCAGTTCTTCTGTTTATAATGGATTACCACCATTTGGTTTACTCTGTTCAGCTCCTATCTCTACAGGCCCTGATTTCAACTCAAGCTACCAGGAGACTCTCACTTTTCGGCTGTTTTAGTAGCTATGCTACCCTAGGCAAGTACGACCCAATTCTGGTTCTTGAGAGAGAGGCATTTGGGTAGTTACAGCAAAAAAAATTCCACAGATGGTATCTGATATAGTCTATTTAGGATTAATGGAGGGAAAAACAAAAAACATTGCTTAGCAACAATTATCCACAGACCTAAGGTCTACAAATTCTTTTTTTCTAATGTTAAAATGTACAGGTTTTTTTTTTTGGAGAAGAAGAGAACTTGAAATAAATCAGAAAATGCCTTCATATTATTCATTCTTTTCATATACTTCAAATTTATACTTAATACCATTCTCTTCCTGGACATCAGAAAGAACACCTGGGTATCTGTAAAAGAAAAATGTGCAGTTAAATAATGTGTCAGTGAAAAATACAGCTTTCCTGACTCTTAGCCAAAAGGCATCAACAGTGTTTAAAGTAAAAAGAAGTTGTCCTTTCTTCTTTTTTCTTCACCATGGTTAGCCACTGTTAAGTTGGGTGAATAGTGAGCAAATACCATACATATGAAAATCTTAAGAAAAATTCCAAGCTATATAGAAGATTAGGAAAAGTGTAATTTCTTGTTCTCCTTTTCTTCTAACTCCTAATTCTTTCCTCCAAGACTAAGCACTATAGCTGTTTCACTTGTGTCTTTCCACTCTGTCATTCAGCTAATATCAAATTTCTTAAGAACCTTTTTAAGTTCTTGGTATCAAATTTCTTGCATAGGCAAAAGAAAAATAAAATGCAATCGTTGCCTGTTTAAAGTAAAACAGAAGTGATACGCCTTGCATAGAGATAGATTCTTGATTTCTATTTATCTGTTCTAATCCCCCAATATGTGGCTTACTGTAATGTAACTCTTTTGCTAACATCTGCTATTTTCTACTCCCTAACGTAGGCCTGTGTTCCCTCCAGCTTCCGACTGAAAACCCAAGTTCTCCATTGGAGGCTGTTGTGACCACTCCAGTCTACAAGCATTCCCATTGGCTCCTATTCTCGGAGTTCTTCCTCATATGGTTCAGGCTGCATTTCAGTACATTTGGGGTGGTGGTTAGCGATGCTTGTTTTAATCGGACTAGTGTTTGACTCCGGTTGTGCTGTGAGACATTGTCTCTCAAACTGCTTATCAATAAACAGTCTTTATCCTTGCAAAGAATTTAGCATTGTGCCTGAAACATGAAATGCTCCACAAATATTACCCACTGACACTATTTAGTGTTTTGATACTTAATTAGTGTTTTGTCCTCTTATTTTCTAAACTCCTTGTAGCCCAAGGGTCATAAAGGAAAAAAAAAAAAATTAAATCTTAGAATCTCCAACACAATGCTGAACTGACTAATCAGAGATTATGCCATTTTCATAAAAAATAAAATTAGAGACATTAAGTAATAACAGCATATAACATGTGAGCAAAAAAAGTCTTCTCTGGAAACGTGTATTCAGAGGAAAAAAGCTCTATTTCTACAAATCAAACATTTTTTAAGCTGTTTTTGGTCCACTGCTTCAGTAGTAGTATATCTTCCTTCCCCTAAGACCCCACTATTTTAAAGAAATGATTGTATTAGGCCAACTTTAAATCATAATTTTACTTTGGAATGAGTCACAAAAAGCAACATTTATGTTTTCCCCTTCCAAATTCTGAGGAGTGCCAAGACTGTCAGTTAATAAGACAAAAGCAAAGTATCAAGAGGTTATTTCTAAATCTATGAATAATAACTTAGAAATAAGTATGTTATTGACATGGCATTTGTTTTAAGTTGTCAAGTATCCAAATGGATCACAGCTATAGAAATCGATGGAGAGCAGCAATAGGATTTAAAAAGGTATTTAATATGAAGCTGGCTCACACAATAATCTATTGTTCCTGTTAGTAGCAAAGAGACAGATAAGGAGAATAGAGATTGATATTTACATATATGACAACAATCAATTTAAGCAGAACAAGAGAAAATATGTATGTATGGAAAGTAACACAACTAATTTTTACCTAATACATAAAATCATAGCAAAGTGTGATTTTTGCAGTCATTTTTAAAGACTACAAGCAAAAGACTGCATCTTAGCAATTTAGAAACTTCTAAGATTTTATAATTTCTAATTTTCTTTAGATCTAGTTCAGAGCTAACGAAAATCAGTGACATATTTCATTTGATTAAAGATTATCACTCTACAGCTACAACAATGGGCTCAAACAAAGCAGCTCCAGGGAGGATGGCACAGGGCCAGACAGTGCTCCATTCTGTTGCACATGGTGTCACTATGAGTTGGAACTAACTCAACCACACCTAACGACAACTCTAAAGCTTGGCCATGCATTTATTCAGATTTGGTTCTGAATATTGTTTCAGAGGGTGTGATAGGTAGGGTCGTGTGTCAACTAGGCTGGACGATTGCAGTGGTTTAAGCAGTTCTGATGTGGTTATTCCCAAGATGAGATCTCATGTATATGCTTTGAGCAGCCAATCTGCTGGAAGGGAGTGGCATGCTTCCAATATATATATGGACATTCTGGGAAAATGAGAGAAACTTCTGTGGATCTGGATCCTGCTATGCTGCCTAAAACTGTCCGTGAGTGAACCATCCACCATTCTGCCTGGCGATCTTGGATCTGTCATCTGCTGAAGTCAACAGCCAGTATATTGCCTGCCAACCTTGAGCTTGTCAGCTCCTGCAGCTGTGTCAGTCGGGAAAAGCCTCCACCTTGATGTTTGATTGGAACTTGGGACTTGCCAGCCTCTATAACTGTGAGCCATTTTCCTAAGATAAGTTTCTCTCTCTTTATATATAACCACTACTCGTCTGTCAGTTTGTTGTACTGTAGCGGCTTGTGTGGTGCTGTGAGGTTGGAGGCTGTGCCACTGTATTTCAAATACCAGCAGGGTCAACCATGGTAGACAGGTTTCAGTGGAGTTTCCAGATGAAGACAGACTAGGAAGAAGGAAGAGGCCATCCACTTCTCAAAGAATTGGCCAGTGAAAACCTTATAAATAGCAATGAAGCACTGATATATTACTGGAAAACTTCATGAACAGATCTGAAACTATGTTTGATATAATGCCAGAAGAAGAGCCCCTCAGGTCAGAAGGCACTCACAGTATGACTGGGGAAGAGCTGCCTCCTCAAAGTAGAGCCAATCTTAATGATGTGGATGGAATAAAGCTTTCGGTACCTCTATTAGCAGATGTGGCACAACTCAAAATGGGAAGAAACAGCTGTAAACATCCATTAATAATCAAAACACAAGAGTGTATGAAGTATGAATCTAGGAAAATTGGAAGTTGTCAAAAATGAAATGGAACGCATAAAGATCGATATTCTAGGCATTAGTAAGCTGAAATGGACTGGTTTTGGCCACTCTGAATCAGACAACCATATGATCTACTGTGCCAGGAATGACAAATTAAAGAGGAATGGTGTGGCATTCATCATCACAAAGAATGTTTCAAGATCCATCCTGAAGTACAATGCTGTCCATGATAGGACAATATCCATATGCCTACAAGGAAGACCAGTTAATATTACTATTACTCAGATTTATGCACCAATCACCAAAGCCAAAGATGACAAAATTGAAGATTTCTACCAACTTCTGCAGTCTGAAATTGACAAAACATGCAATCAAGATATGTTGATTACTACTGGTGACTGGAATGTAAAAGTTGGAAGCAAAGAAGAATCACTAGTAATTGGAAAATACGGTTTTGGTGACAGAAATGACACTGGAGATCACATGAAAGAATTTTATGAGACCAATGACTTATTCATTGCAAATACTTTTTTCAACAATATAAATGGTGGCTATACATGTGAACTTCACCAGACAGACTACACAGGAATCAGATTTGACTACATATGTGGAGAGATGCAATGGAGAAGGCCAGGAGCTGACTGTGGAACAGACCATCAACTGCTCATATGCAAGTTCAAGATGAAGCTGAAGACAATTGAAACAAGTCCAGGAGAACCAAAATAAGACCTTGATTATATTCCACCTGAATTTACAGACCATCTACAGAATATATTTGATGCACTGAACACCAGTGATTGAAGACCAGATGAATTATAGGCTGACATCAAGAACATTGTACACAAAAAAAGTAAAAGGTCATTAGTAAGAAAGGAAAGGAAGAAAAGACCAAAATGCATGTCAGAAGAGACTCTGAAACTTGTTCTTGACTGGAGAGTAGCTAAAGCGAATGGAAGAAATGAGGAAATAAAAGAGCTGAACAAAAGATTTCAAAGAGCAGCTTGAGAAGACAAAGTCAATTATTATAATGAAATGTGCAAAGACCTGGAGTTAGAAAACCAAAAAGGAAGAACACACTTGGCATTTCTCAAGCTGAAAGAACTGAAGAAAAAATTTAAGACTTGAGTTGCAGTATTGAAAGATTCTATGGGCAAAATATTGAGTGATGCAGGAAACATCAAAAGAAGATGTAAGGAATATACAGAGTCACCGTACCAAAAAGAATTGGTTGATGTTCATCCATTTCAGGAGGTGGCATATGATCAAGAAGCAATGGTACTGAAGGAAGAAGGGAAGCTACATTGAAGGAATTGGCAAAAAACAAGGCTCCAGGAACTGACAGAACACCCACTGAGATGTTTCAACAAATGGATGCTGTGTTGGAGGTACTTACTCATCTATGCCAAGAAATTTGGAAGACAGCTACCTGGTCCACTGACTGGAAGAGACCCATATTTGTACCCATTCCAAAGAAAGGTGATCCCACAGGATGTAGAAATTATTGAACAATATCACTAATATCACATGCAAGTAAAATATTGCTGAAGATAATTAAAAAACGGTTACAGCAATATATTCAAAGGGAACTTCACTCCCACAAATGCAAGCTGCATTTATAACAAGACACAGAACGAGAGATCTTTGCTAATGTCGGATGGATCTTGGCTCAAAGCAAAGAATACCAGAAAGATGTTTACTTGTGTTTTATTGACTATGCAAAGGCATTTGACTGCGTGTTTAAAATCAGGAAGGGAATGTGTCAGGATTGTATCCTTTACCCATACTTATTCAATCTGTATGCTGAGCAAATAATCTGAGAAGCTGGACTATATGAAGAAGAACGCAGCATCAGGATTGGGGGAAGACTCATTACCAACCTGTGATATGCAGGTGATACAACCTTGCTTGCTGAAAGTGAAGATGACTTGTAGCAATTACTGATGAAGATTAAAGACTGCAGTCTGAAGTATAGATTACACTTCAGTATAAAGAAAATGAAAATTTTCACAACTGGACCAATAAGCAGCATCACAATAAATAAAAGATTAAAGTGGTCAAAAATTTCATATTACTTGGTTCCATAATTATCACCAGTGGAAGAAGCAGTCAAGAAATCAGACAACAAATTGCACTGGGCGAATCTGCTGCACTGGGCAAATCTGCTGCAAATGAGCAAAGATGTCTCTTTGAAGATTAAGGTGTGCCTAACTCAAGCCATGGTGTTTTTAATCACCTGATATGCATGTGAAAGCTGGAGAATGAATTAGGAAAACATAAGAAGAGTTGATCCTTTTGAGTTGTGGTTCTGGCAAAGAGAGCTTAAAGTACCATGGACTTGCAGGAGAACTAACAAATCTGTCCTGGAAGAAGCGCAGCTGGAATGCTCCTTGGAATCGAGAATGTCTAGACTTCGTCTCACCTGCTTTGGCCATGTTGTCAGAAGGGACCACTCCCTGGAGAAGGTTATCATGGCTGGTAAAGTGGAAGGTCAGTGAAAAAGGGGAAGACCCTCAATGACATGGATTGATGAGTGGCTGCCATGATGGGCTCAGGCACAGAAGGGATTATTGGCTGGTGCAGGACCAGGCAGTGTTTCGTTTTGTTGTACACAGGGTTGCCACAAGTCAGAACCGACTCAACGGCACCTAACAACAACATATGTATAAGCTTTACTGGTTTTGCTTCTTTAGAGAACCCAGCTTAACACCAAGGGCATTTCAAAAAACAAACTTATACTCATAGGATAATAACTTGTTACAACTGAGAATATCTGAAAAAATATGTTGCTCTAAAAGAAAGCTGGTGTGTTAGGCTGGGTTCTCTAGAGAAGCAAAACCAGTAAAGCTTAAATATACATATATATATAGAGAAATCTATCTTAGGAAAATGGCTCACACACTTATAGAAGCTGGCGAGTCCCAAGTTCTTGGGTCAAACGTCAAGTTGGAGGCTTTTCCCAGCTCATGCAGCTGCAGGGGCTGATGAGCTCAAGGTCGGTAGGCACCATACCAGCTGTTGACTTCAATGAATGACAAATCCAAGATCTCCAGGCTGAATGGTGGATTGTTTGCCCACAGACAGTTGTAGGCAGCACAAGAGAATCCCGATCCACAGAAGAGTGTCTCTTTTCCCTAGGATGTCCATAAATATATTGGAAGCAGGCTGCACCCCTAGGGAAACTCCCTTTCAATGGATTGGCTGCTCAAAATACATATATCCGATCTCATCATGGGAATAACCCACATCACAACTACTTAAACCACTCAGAATTGTGGTCCAGCCAAGTTAACATACAATTCCAACTATCACAGTTGGTCTAAAAGTGTCGCTATAATTAGTCTCTCTTACTTTTATTCTCTGTAGTCAATAGCTGAAAAGTGCTTTTAAACTAAAGTGTTATATATTTTAAAAGTTGGGCAGCCTCATGTGAAAATTGCAACTACATAATAAAGCAAATATCTCTTCCTTCTAAACATATCTACTGCTACTACCACCTTAATCCAAGTCTCTTCATCTTTCATCTGCTAGTTCAGTAACTTCCCAACTGGTCTTACTCTTCACTTGTCCCCCTACAATCTATTCTCTCTCCATAATGTAGCCAGAATAATGTCACTGTTATTTCAGAACCCTCTAAAACTGCACTTGGTCTGTGTCATGTCCTCTTCCTCCCAGCTCACAATGTCCACAGTGGCCTTCAGGATCTGGGAACATGTGATTCTTGTTCCTGTCCTCAGGTCTCTGCACTAGCAATTTCCTGTGTCTAGAATGCTCTCCCCTGCTCTTTGCATGACTGACTTCTCACCATTTAGATCTCAACGTAGTCTTCAATCATGTCTTCAAAGAGGACTTCTCAGACTACACAGTATCTACCACATCATATTCCAATGTGCACAGCAACTCTTTTGATATTTCTCTGTTGTTTGGGACCTTCCCTTCCAAATGTAAGTTCCTACGGAGCTGGGACATTTCCTATCTTGGTAACCACTGCTTCCTCAGTGCCTAGAACAGTGTCAGATGCTGAAAACAAATCTTGTATAATCAATTAATGACAACGCTTCTAGATTTCAAATTATTAAAACCTATATATGAGTCAGGGCTGACTCGACGGCACATAACAACAACAACAACAAAATACATTACCAAGTCTATTACATCAGATTTCCAAAAATTCCTATAGTAGTTGTCTATAAGACATATTGCTATCTGAATTCAATCTGAAAAAACATGATCTCTTCTATGGTTTTTAAGCAGGAAATCCAAAGAAGTGCTTCAGATTAATTAATAACATCTTACGTACTCTGGGAGAAGTTTATATTTCTGTAAATCAATTTCAGGGAAAAATGTGTCACTTTCAAATTCCTGCATGATCCTTGTCACGAACAGTCTAAGATGGCCTGGCTGGTCCATGGCTTCCTTTGAAATAAGACAAAAGGTATTAATTTCCTTATTTAATCTCTGTTAAAAGACACAGTACTGTTTTTTTAATTAGATAATCAAGTTTGTACTAGTTATTAAAAGACACTACTTAACATGTTACCTCTAAAGCATGTTATTTAAAGATCCTATTGTTTAATCTGGGGTTCTGAAAAGTGTGGTTTAGTTAAAGGGAGAATAACACTCATCACTATAAATAATTTTGCAACTGAAATTAAAGATATTCTGGCCTCTAGTTTGCTTATAAGAACTCCTTTTTAGCTTAAGTATTCAGTTTTGTTTTTTCCCCCTTTGGTTGTTGCTTCAAGAATTCAGAACCTCAAATTATCTAGTTATTCTCCATACAAAAATTTACATATGTATATATGGAGACGACAGCACAATTTCATGAGACCTTGACTCATGAAAACCCCATGGACATACTTCTTGTTGTTAGGTGCTGCTGAGTCATTTCCGACGCATAGCGACCACATGCACAGCAGAACGAAACACTGCCTGATCCTCTGCCAGCTCCATGATGCCTGCTCTACTTGAGCCCATCATTGCAGCCACCATGTCAATCCATCTTGTTGAAGGCCTTCCCCTCTTTTGTTGACTATTCACTCTACCATGACATCCTTCTCTAGGGAATGGTCCCTTCTGACAATATGACCAAAGTAGGTGAGACAAAGTCTGGCCATTCTTGCTTTCAAGGAGCATTTCAGGTGCACTTCCTCCAGGACAGATCTTCAGCATTCTTTGCCAGCACCACAACTCAAAAGCATCAACTATTCTTCAGTCTCCCTTATTCATTGTCCAGCTCTCACATGCATATGAGGCAACTGGAAATATCCTGGCTTGTGTCAGGCGCACCTTAGTCCTCAAGGAGACATCCTTGCTCGTCAGCACTTGAAACAGTTCCTTTGCGATTGACCTTCCCAGTGCTACGTGTCGTCTAATGTCCTCACTGCTGCTTTCATTGGCCTCCATTGTAGAACCAAGCAATGTGAATTCTTCGACAATCTTCTCTCCATTTATTGTGATGCTGCTCATTGGTTCAGTTGTGAGGATTTTTTTCTTTATATTGAGACGTAATCCATACTGCAGACTGTATTCTTCAACCTTCATCAGTAAGTGCCTCAAGTCATC